GCCCTATCAAGAAAATTAGGCCCTATCAAGAACGGTATGCAAATCGATTTTTTTTTTTTACCCATCAAAAACAGTACCAACAATCTATCAAGAATGGTATTTTTGTATCTAACTCTATAGCAGGCTAATAAATTTTCTTAGTATTTGGCCAATATATTCACTATTTTTTATAAATTTTCTGTTTAAAGAGAGACTATATAAAATGCTTTCAAGTTTGTGAAATATATAATTTACTTTTTTGGCTATTTTTTTACTTAAATTGGTTTGTACTATTAAATAATCACATAATATAAATCAAATTTGGCCAAAACAAAACAAATTTGGCAAATTAGTGTTATACAATTTCTAGTGAGTTGTTTACGGTGTTAATAAGTATAAAAAAAATTATTTGATTAAATTGTTACATGATCTACATTATACATAACTATTTTTTAATCACATGCCTTTTCAATATAAATAGTTCAAATTAGTTTATAGACATTATTTATAGTTTGAAAAGGCTACAATATAATAAAATTGCATAAGAAATTTTTTATTAAAGTCAAAAAATCAATTTACTAGTCTAAATTTTGAGATAAATAGAAATTGACAGTGTATAGGATCAATTTCCATTCACATGATTTTTAAAGTTATATAAAAGAATTTATTTATGGTAGAGTAGGTTAGAGTTTAGGTTTGGGTTTGGGTTTGAGAGCTATAGTATAGTAAAATTGTACAAGAAAACTTTTCATTAGAACTAAAAAGGTTATTTGTAAATATTTATTTTGATTTTTTTATGTTACATCTAATACAAGTCATTATAGTAAAGACATAGTTATAGTGAAGAATTAGGAAATTTTTCTTAAAACCAGTCTATATGTAATTCTTTTAATATAGTGAATTACCAATAAACTCTCAATATAGTGACCTTTTTAAAAAATTTTATTAATAGTCCTGACTACTTCACTATAACAAGAGTGGCTTGTATCAGTTTTTAAATAGCTAACTGACATCAGAAAATCACATAAATGGAAAATTGATCCTGTGCCCTGGTGTTGTTAGACAAATGTGATTTTTGCAAAACAAATGTTTGTTTTAAATTTCTTTATATTACACATAATCCTGATTTTTTATTAGTTAATTGAAGTTGGAAATCATGTGACCGGGAAATCGATCCTACTCCCTGGCATTGTAGGGAGAGTAAAGCCCAAGAATTTCCGAAGGTAGTATAGATATTAATCTTAACCAGTTGTTATGAAATAATTCGGTTCAGTTAACCGATTAAGAATTTTTTTTTTAGTTCAAATTAATAATCTTGACAACCATCTGACCAAATTCAATAAACCTTTATTGTTTGAATTCTATGCATCTATAGAATTCAAATAAATTTTTTTTTGTCGAATTTAGTCAAGTGGCTATTGAGATATCTTCGCTCAAAGTTAGAGAAAAATCAAATCGCATATTAAAATAAATCTGTGCAAGTTTTTTTTCTAACTTTGAACGAAGATATCTCGACAACCTTCAAAACAAATTCGATAAAACGCTATTTAATTTAATGCTACGGGTTCATGGAATTCGAATAAAAATTTTTTATCGAATTTAGTCAAGTGGTTATCGAGACATCTTAGAGAATAAATTTGGTGCAAATTTGACATGCGATTTAATTTTCTCTCATTTTAAACGAAGTTATCTCGATAACCACTTAACTAAATTCGACGAAAATTTTTTAATTAAAATAGAAAACATTTTATCGAATTTGATCAGAAGGTTATCAAGCTATCTTCGTTCAAAGTTAGAAAAAAACTTGCGCAGATTTATTTAAATATGCGATTTGATTTTTCTCTAACTTTGAGCAAAGATATCTCAATAGCCACTTGACTAAATTCGACAAAATTTTTTTATTCGACTTCTATGAATGCGTAGAATTCAATTATCGAATTTGGTCTGATGGTTGTCAAGATAACTTCGCTCAAATTTTTATTTTTATTGAGATCTGCACGTCGGTCACGTGATGTACTGATAACTGCATTTTCAAAATTGAAATATATAGTCGTGAATATTGATTTTTTTTTAACTATCATTATAACCAAAATTTCTTCCTCTAAAACTTTATTGGAAATAGAAAAAGCGGCCATTTAGACTTATATAACCGATCGCGGTTAGCCGGCTAGCCGACAATAACTGACCGTAACCGATCGTAACCGACCGAACCCATCCCTACGTGTAATCATAAAAAGGTAATAACTTGTTAGAAAAAAGCCTGCTTCCCAAAACATTACCATCACTATAGATTATTAATGTCATCATTATACGACACTCGTATTTTTTTATTACCTTGCCTTATGGAACCGGTTTTAATTTTCATCATAAATGATCTGAGCAGTAAATGCAAATTTAGCAAAATTATGTTTCACAAACTTGAGATCGCCGTATAAACGCGTTAACAAGTAAGCAACGAATAAAATCACCACACCCAATATACATCAATTTTTTAGTTCAATTATCGCTATTGCTAATAATTTCAAATAAAAACAGATCTCTTACTAATTGTATCCAAAAAAAATTATAATTTTTTATTGTTCAATTATAAAAAAATGTATGTAAAATACCATCCACATATAAAATTTTATAATTACAAACGATGAAATATTGTTGGCAATATTTATAAAAGTGAGATAATTTCTACATCATACGCAAATAAGTAATAAATATAAATGTAAATATATTATATATTACTTTCAAATATTTAATTTAATTTCCTTCATTAGTTCATTTCCTTCATTTCACTCCTTCCAATATATATATATATTACAAGGATAAAGGAATCAAAGACAACTTTAATTAAATCCGTTTGCTTCAACAGGCATTTCATATACTTTGGGACTCAATGCTTTCCAATTTTCGTAAAGCTGTTGTGAATATTTGATTTGATCGTTTACGAAATTCTGATATAAATACGAGATGAAAGTGGAGCTTTTATGGAACAGGGTTAATTCGGAAAATAGGCAATAACGCATAAAGGTTTTTCGCATTCGTTGGTGTTTAATATCTTCTTGATCCTTTAAATCAATAATCATATATAAGATTAATTGAATTCATAGAAAATCGCTGGTGTATAAAAAAAAAATAATTACTTTTTGAATTGAAGCATTTAATTTTTCTACCTCCGGATCATTGTTAGAAAGTTGTGTAAGGCGAGCTGTATTAGATATTATTCGGGTATTGAGGGAATCGAATGTATTTACAGCTAACCGATCTTTTCGTTCAAAGGTTTCCTGAATCAAGGGTATATAATAAATAAACTATTCATCAGCACTAGTACAATTAAGAATAAAGCTTACTCTAAAGGAAACAAGAAGATCACATTGACGTTTTAAATTTTCCAAAACGAATTCAAGCGTTGTTGCAGACTTTATTTAGAAATAAAGCATTAGTTTAGATTATTTCTACTAAAAATTCAAATAACACTTTGTGACAAGTGACTCACCGCATTTTCCATGATAGTACTTGTTGTTTGTAAATGACTTGATACATGCTCTAACCCTTGTACTATTTGTGAACAATTATGACAATTTTCGATATAGCAAACTTTTTCTTTTTCTATCAAAGAGCTATTAAAGATAACTAATTAAAATTTAATAATAAGAGTATATACATTTCAATTATGTATTAACATACTTTAAGGTCAAGTGACATCGCATATAATCGATTGCCATGCCTTTAAAGTAAGGGATTATTGAAAAAAAAAAGAAATTAAGTTAAATTATAGTGAATATGCCCAAATAATGGAAAATCACACTTTATTATATTATATTATATTGTTAAACACAAACCTTCTTGACGACGGGCGATACTTTCCATAATATTCCACATATTTCTGTAATGTTCAACAGTGTCATCTAATTTCTTTACACCTTTTTCTAACCTTTTATCTAAATCTTCAGGTATACGCCGTTCCATTTCAGGTGTAACCTGTCTTTTAAGGTATTCTTCTAGATCTGGTGAATTTGTTCTACGCCACACTGCTATTTCCTAATTTAATATTGTATATGTGTGTATATATCACATAAAAATTGAATTTATAATTTGAAGAGAAATCTAGCGAACTTACCAATTGTTCTGTAAGGAACATTTCTACCAATTGATCATCTTTTAAGACTGGATGTATTGCAATAAAATTCAAAAAACGTGCCAACCCCTTCCGCCGTTTTTTCATCAACTGTGAAATAAAATCCGTTAACTAAATCAAACAAATATCGAATTACTCTAACATCCGATTTTTAATAGCTGCATTTATAATTAATAATCAATTAGGAAATTTACCTCCAATCTTCTTTGGTGGAAGATCGGGCAAGATACGGTAAGGATATTTCTTTACCAAGCATTCCATTAGCCACCAAAAATCACTATATCTTCTTATAACTTTCGTTTGATGTCGCTTGAAACAGTAGATATCGCATGGCAAATAAGATAGTTGACTTTAATTAATGAATTGTTATTGTATTTTTATTTACCTGTGATTCGATAATATAAATGACATGTTTAAATAGAAATCCATCTTTTTCCGGCGCAATCTTTACTGTAATGAGGTCTGCGTCCAAAAACCACTGAAATTCGTCTTCGTTAGGCATTGTAGTAACAATTGAGGTACACCAATGTTATTATTTATAGGAAAATTTGTTTGTGAAAAGTATGAAGGGTTTAACGAATGTGCAAAAGGTAGCCCATGGGTCATCTGCTTGTAGAGGCATTGATGGAGGACGTGAAGCAGAAAAGGAATTCAAATCTCGATTGAAATTAAGGCTCTTTAAATTTGTCAAAATTGGCTCGGGAAGATCTGCACCAAAAAAAATGTATATATATATATATATATTAAAGAAATTAAAAACAGAACTAATTTAAACCTACCATTCTTTCTCTCAATTAATGTCTCAATCGAAACATCTTAAAAATTTAATTATAATGACTTCTAAATTAAGATAAATAAAAATTAAAATAAACTAATAAACATAGCTTTAAATTTTATTTACCCATATTCTTTTGAGCTAGTGCCACTAATGCGAGAGCTACATTAAATTCACCGCAATTCACACGAACGCTATTTGTCGCAGCAGCCAAGTTTATAATCTTAAAACAGATCATTATCAATAAATCTAATTTTATACATCATAATATCATGTAATAACGTACTTTTTCAATGGTCACGTTATGTAATCCACTGATGTTTAAAATCTTAGTCAAGGCAGAAATAGGAACCGTCCCTGCGACCGGTGAAGCTTGCGCAAAAGCAGAATTATACACGTC